GTTTCGGGGTGGAGGACGTCATGTACAGTATCATCACAATTGCATAATAGTAAACAAAAAACATACAACCATTGCATTACATAGTGAGTTTAATTACAAATGTGTTTTGTAATGTTCAACAAACAACAGAAGTAAATAAAAAATAAGAGATGGATCTTGTATGCTCCACCTTCTCCAAAAAGCTGCACCTGTAACTGTCTATCTTTGACCTGAGGATACAAGTTATTTTGAAAACGAATATCAGCATAAAGCTGGTGAGTTCTTAAGAGTTTAGTGTGAGTTTTTGTATAAAAAGCATTAGAACCGATAGTATGAAAAGCTGCGATTTACATTCATAAGTAGTAGAAAAACCTAGAAAATCCTATATTTTCCAGAAATACATTGTAAGTGAAAACCTTTAAGAAACATGAAATTTCCATCTTTGAAAACCATTTATTGTAAAAGTATAATATTAAATTTCCAATAAGTAATGCAATATGATAGGTTATGCCTGAAGTCAATAATAGTGGTGCAAACTTCTTTTAGTGTTAGATACTTGATTACTTCGGGATATTAACTTACTTTTAGTTTAGTATTTTAGTGTGTTATAGTGCATTTCTGTATGTTACCGATAGTGTGTGTAATAGAGGACCCCATGACCTTCCCGGTCATGCACAGTGTGGTGAAGTAGTGGCATCCCTGGACCTGTGCGACTCGGACTGAAGTTAACAGTCGGGATGTAATAGTGTCTGCCCCATATAGATCTATACATATAGCGTCGTCTTCCTGTTAGAAGACTCTGGGCGTAGTGCATAGCGAATAGAGTATCTCGTTGTGGGTTAGTGTGTTATCTCTTGATTAGTGCTTTCTCTTGTATTATAGTGTAGTAGTCTTTTGTATAACTCGTATTGTGTTCTCTTATTAGTGTATGGTATCATAATAGAATGTAATATAGTGTGTAGAGTAGTAGCTATAACGAGTAATAGTGGTCTTAACTATACCTATTATAGTTAACTTAGTGTGTATGATTCTTGTCAGTTTAGCGGTTTAAACATCGAATGAAATGAAAATACTCATATCCAACACTAATATATATGATATATAACTAAGAAATCAACGACATCTGGACGGATAACAACTACCCTAAGCCCACAATCAAACAAGAACAGGAAATAAGGCGAGCTATCAGTCCTAAGTCCTTCAAGTCTTACTTATATAAATATATTGGTGTGGTTACATTTTATAAGGAATTTATTTAATAAAAATCTTGTCAAAAGGGAACATTTAGAAAATTGTTTATTTATCCAAAATAGTTTTGAAAACGAAAATCCTTTTTATAAATCATAGTGGTAAATCACATGTGATTTGCACTACGGATAGTGAATCACATGTGATTAATTTCCGTAACATGAATAATTGACTTGTATAAATTTCCATAAACATGTATAGTTGACTTGTATCCCCCCCTAAAACATATAAATTTGAAAGGTTCATTAAAGGGGTATGAACTCACCTGAAACCGAGTAAATCGGGTAAATCGGGTGAAAGTGTCGGTTGAGCGTTTTGTACCAATTGAGGACTTGTGCACCTTTTAAGACCCTAATATCATATGAAATATGTATTTTACAAGAAATTAATCATTTTATGCTTTTCTTTAAGATATTTAGATATTCTAGCATTGATTCGGGGTCTTAGGGCTTAGAAGGGGTTCCCGGGGATCGTATAAGGCCAAATAGGGGTTACGGGGGAGTCCAAGAGCTTAATCCCTTGGAGTTTACGGCCCAAAGGCCACTCCTTGGGAGTTTACGACCGTAAGCCCCTAGGCTTGGCCGTAAACTCTTGTCCTTCACCCAAAAATGCAAGATAAGGCCTTTACTCCATCCCCTAAATTTCTAGTGAATGCCTAGGACCAAATTTGGGGGTTAAAACCTTCATTTGTTGGTGTTTGAGGGAGTTTACGGTCCTAGCTTGTGCTTGGGCCGTAAACTCCATTTTGTCCCTTAAAATGGATTGTTAAATGGTCCTAAGCACTCCCTTAAATTATAACTAAATTCTAGAAGGCCTTAGGTGAGTTTTTGGGACATTTTAGCATGGGAATTGGGTGTTTACGGCCCAAGCATAGTCTTGGCCGTAAACTCCCCTTTTAGGCTCTAAAATGTGTTGCTTAATGGCCTTAAGCATTTCCTAAGGTTATATCTAAATTCCAACATGCCTTAGATGAGTTTTGGGGCCATTTATCATTGAAATTGGGTGTTTACGGCCTAAGCACAAGCTTGGGCCGTAAACCCTCTTTTAGACCTTAAAATTTTGTGTTTTCATGTCCAAACTCATCTAGGCTATTTCCTTAATTAGTATACAAGCCTAAGGGAAGGAAAATGGGACTTTTAACATGGAAAAAGGGTGTTTACGGCCTAAGCATGTGCTTGGGCCGTAAACCCTTTTTAGTGCTCTAAAACTTATGGTTTTGATGATCAAAGGCTTCTAGGTACAACCCCTAACTAGTATCCAAGCTTAAAAGAAGAAAAATGGGGACTTTTGGCCATCTTTAGGGTGTTTACGGCCTAAGGAGCTTCTTAGGCCGTAAACTCCTTGATCATGACTCATTCACACGATTTTTGAGCTATAAACATATTGATGCATGTTTAGAATAAGTTAGGGAAGAAACTCTTACGTTTGGAAGCCGGAATTCGCGGTTTTGGAGTCAGAATCGGGTCTAGAGAGAGAAAGTAGTGAGAGAGTGTATGTTTGGGGTGGTAAAAGGGTGTAGAGTGGCATTCAATTTCCTTAAGTATGCCTCGGGTATTGCACCCGGTACACGGCTACCCGATGCTAAAGTTTAACGGGGTTAAAACTTTTTACCCGGGTGAAGTGGTTGAAAGGTAATATAACTTTATTTGGTTAAATGGGGTTAACACTTACAAGTTATATTTACTTATACTAAAATGATACTTCCGAGAAAATATAAGTAAACAGATATTTATTTATTGACGACTCCAAATATTTCGTAAATTAATACATAACGACGAATTCCGTTAGTGAAAACGGGATTATGTAACGACAATAAATTTGGGTTGTCACATCATTCCCCCGTTAGGGAATTTCGTCCCGAAATTTAGAATTCATACATATAAGTATTACAATACTACTAAGCGAAGAGATGGGGATATTTGAGTTTCATTTGATCTTCGCGCTCCCAAGTAAATTCCGGACCCCGCTTGGCGTTCCACCGAACTTTCACAATTGGGATGCGACTTTTCTTCGTTCGTTTAACTTCCCGATCCATAATCTCCGTAGGCTCTTCCACAAAGTTGAGGCTCTCATTGACCTCGATCTCGTTGAGGGGAATCACGAGAGTCTTGTCAGACAGGCATTTCTTCAAGTTTGAGACGTGGAAGGTAGGGTGTATGTTACTTAGCTCGCGGGGTAGGTTGAGTTTGTAGGCTACAGGGCCGATTCTAGCAAGGATCTCAAAAGGCCCTATGTACCTCGGGTTCAGCTTTCCACACTTTCTGAAGCGTATCGTGCCTTTCCAGGGCGAGACCTTCAAAAGGACTCGGTCTCCCACCTGGAATTCCAAGGGTTTTCTTCGTTTGTCTGCGTAGTTTTTCTGTCGATCCCTAGCGGCTTTTAATCGATCGCGAATCTGTACAATCTTTTCGGTCATTTCTCGAATAATCTCCGGACCAGTGAGGGCGCTATCAGGAACTCGTCCCTTAGCTAACTGAGTGTCACCCACCTCAGCCCAACACAAAGGGGATCTGCACTTCCGGCCGTAGAGGGCTTCGAATGGAGCTGCCTTGATGCTCATATGATAACTGTTGTTGTAGGAAAACTCCACAAGAGGTAAGTGTGTATCCCACGATTTACCAAAGTCGATCACACAAGCTCGCATCATATCTTCTAGAGTTTGAATCGTCCTCTCACTTTGTCCGTCAGTCTGCGGATGGTAGGCTGTACTCATGTCCAGCCTCATTCCTAACGCCTTTTGTAGTGATTGCCAAAATCTAGAGGTAAATCTACTATCTCTGTCCAAGATAATAGATATAGGGATGCCATGCAGCCGTACTATTTCCTTTATGTATGTTCTTGTGAGCTTCTCCATCTTGTCTGTTTCCTTGATGGGTAGAAACTGCGCAGACTTGGTCAACCTGTCGATGATGACCCAAATGGTATCCAACCCTCCCGATGTCTTGGGTATCTTGGTTATAAAGTCCATTGTAATCCGCTCCCACTTCCATGCCGGTATCGCTGGTTATTGGAGGAGTCCTGATGGCTTCTGATATTCGGCCTTGACCTTCGCGCAAGTAAGGCACTTGCTCACGAAGGTAGCGATCTCCGCTTTCATGTTAGGCCACCAATATAGCTTTTTGAGATCCAGATACATCTTATCTGAACCTGGGTGGACGGAGTAGCGAGTGTTGTGTGCATCCCTCATGACCAAGTCTCTGAAACCTCCATGGCGCGGGGTCCAGATTCGGTCCATGAAGTAGTAGGCTCCGTCACCCTTGACCTCCAAACTTTTATCCATTCCGCACAGGGATTCTCCCGTCACATTCTTAGGCTTTAAGGCTTCCAGTTGAGCCTCCCAGATCTGCACGGATAGATGCGAACGGATAGTCATTGTCAATGACTTGGTTCTTCGTCCAAAATACTCCTTCCTACTCAGGGCGTCTGCTTCTACGTTGGCTTTCCCCGGGTGGTATCAGATTTCGCAATCGTAACCGCTGAGTAGTTCGACCCATCGATGCTGCCTCATGTTGAGTTCTTTCTGGTTCAGTATGTGCTGGAGGCTTTTGTGATCAGTGTACACCACGCTCTTCGTCCCATACAAGTAGTGTCTCCAGATTTTTAGTGCGAAGACGACCGCTCCTAACGCGAGGTCGTG